GATGAAGTGCTCTGCTTCAGTCTGCACTCACTGGGTACTCCTTGGGCCCATGTCCTCTTGGAACTTGGTTTTTCAGCTGTCAGATGACATTTTACCAGCTGATCCCTGAAAGCATCCCTTCCTCTAAAAGGCTGGGAGAGTTTTCTGGGCTGGAGTGGGTAGGGCGCCAAGGGGTTGCGGCTAGAACTGGACCCTACACACTAGGTCAGTCTGGGTAAAGGGTGCTAGCAGTGATTCCACAGGGAGGGGCTGTCCTGTGCATTAGTGAGGGGCTGGGTGCAGAGGACGGCGGTGCGTCTCAGGTTTTCTCTGACCCCTGTCTCTCTGTCTCTTTTTCAGCTCCCCAGACCTATCCCTTTACGCCATCCCTCAGCACCATCAACTTTGACGAGTTTTCCCCAATGGTCTTTTCTCCTGGGCAGATCCCAAGCCAGACCTCAGCCTTAGCACCAGCCTCTGCCCCAGTTCTGGCTCAGGCGCCAGCCTCTGCCCCAGGCATGGCATCAGCTCTGGTTCAGGCCCCAGCCCCTGTCCCAGTCCTAGCCTCCGGCCTTGCTCAGGCTGTGGCCCTGCCTGCCCCCAAGCCCACCCAGGCAGGGGAAGGGACACTGACAGATGCCCTGCTACACCTGCAGTTTGATGCTGATGAAGACCTGGGAGCCCTGCTGGGCAATAACACTGACCCAGCTGTGTTCACGGACCTGGCATCCGTCGACAACTCTGAGTTTCAGCAGATGCTGAACCAGGGTGTATCTATGGTTCCACACACAGCGGAGCCCATGCTGATGGAGTACCCTGAGGCAATAACACGCCTGGTAACCGGGTCCCAGAATCCCCCTGACCCAGCTCCTGCTCCCCTGGGGACCTCTGGGCTCCCCAACGGCCTCCTCTCAGGGGATGAAGACTTCTCCTCCATTGCAGACATGGACTTCTCAGCCCTTCTGAGTCAGATCAGCTCCTAAGGGGGTGACACCTGCCTTGCCCAGAGCACTGGGCTGCAGGAGATTGAAGCCCTCCCAAAGCAAGCACTTATGGATTCTGGGTGTGTGTGCCCCAGCTGCCCCCAATTTCTTTGGATGATGTCTTCATGGTGAGGGGGTGGTGCATTTTATATTCTTGTATTGGCAGCACCTATCTCTCTCATTTTGGAGGTGCTTAAGCAGAAGCATTAACTTCTCTGGAAAAGGGGGAGCTGGGAGGACTCAAACTCTTCCTTCCCCTATCCTGATGTTCAGCTCTCTTCTCTCTATAGGGAATTATGGAGTCCCCCACCCCCACCCTCCAGCTTCTAGTGCTCTCCTAGAGAGAGACAGGCTGGGGCTCTGGCCTTAGAGGCCGCAAAGCCTTAATTATCAAGCATCTTCCTTAAATCATGGATTTATGTACACTTGAGCCAAAATGATGCCCTTGTTACCAGTTCTGTGGTGCTGGCATTGCCCTTGTGCCTAACACCAGCATTTGAGGGGCTGGTCTTCCTGCCCTGCCAAGGTTATTGCCAGCTCTTTCTTTGCTCAGCTGTGGTTGAAGAGACTGGTGAACAGCTCTGGTTCTCTACATTATCCAGGCAGGTTGGGTCTGAGACGTCTCTGTGCCCCCTTTTTTCAAGTGCCTTAATAGGAGGGCAAGTTGTTTGGACAGTGGGGGGAAGGCAGGTTGGTAGTTCTCTAGTCAAGAGGCTGTTTTTATTGAAGAATCAAAGCAGTTGGACTCTTGCTCTTTCTACTCTGAACTAATAAATTTGTTGCCAAGCCTATCAGAGATTTGCCTTCTTTCATCACACTCCTTGCTAGTCACTTCAGGCTGGGCATTGGTGATTAAGATTTGGATGAATATTTACACTGTCATCTGGGAGCTTACAGTCTGAAGGTGCCCTTGAAAACCCTTAGTCACTGTCCGGTGGATGAAAGTTGGCTGCTAAAATGGATGAGGTTCCCAGTGTAGTGGAAGCCCATTGGCTGTGGGGAGCTTCAGCTTATAGATAAACAGAGCAAGGTGGATCTCAGAGGGGCTAGCCAGCATTTGTAGGTGAGCAGGATTAAGACAATGATGTTGGGCCTGGCCGGTGTGGTTCAGTGGTTGAGTGTCGACCCTGCACCAAGAAGTTGCTGGTTCGATTCCCAGTCAGGGCACATGCTCAGGTTGTGGGCCTAATCTCCAGTGCGGGGCATGCAGGAGGTGGCCAATTGATGTTCTCTCATCGATGTTTCTCTCTCTCCTCTCTCAAATCAATAAAGAAAAAAAATTTTTTTAAGTTAAAAAAAAAACAGGCAATGATGTTGGAAAGTTTCAATGTGGCCAGGCTATAAATTATCAAGAAAGGTGGGCTAGCCCTGGCCGGTTTGGCTCAGCGGTTAGAGCGTTGGCCTGCGGTCCAGAGAGACCCCGGGTTCGGTTCCCGCTAAGGGCATGTACCTCTGTTGCAGTTCATCCCTGGCCCTGGTTGGGTCGTGCGGGTGGCAGCCACTTGATGTGTCCCTTTCACGTCGATGTTTCTCTCTCTCCCTCCCTCCCACTCTATCTGAACAAAAAATGTCCTCGGGTGAGGATAAAAAAAAAAAAGGGCTAAAAGGTTTAGACTTCATCTTTTGGATGGTAAAGGGAGAGAGTACATCTGTTGGGGAAGTGCCACTAAAGGTCTATGGTTTGATATCCTGTTCTGCTAGGGCCAAGGACCTAGGAAATCTTAAATTTGCAGCCCGGGGAGGCCTAAACAAAGCCAGGACACAACCCAAGCAGCCACAGCAGAGGTACTTCCGGTTTGGTCTGACGCATGCGCAGTGAGGTGGGGTCGGCACAAGGCCCTGGCTGGCTCGGCTCGGCTTTTTTAAGTGCGCATGCGCACACATAGGTTTTTGTTTTTTTGTGTGTGTTTTTTTTTGCGTCGGGGAATCAGGTACAGTGCTTTGGGAAAATCCCTCTCCTGAAGCGGATGACGTCTGTGTTCCGGGCTTTGCAGTGTTGTGGGAGGGTGAAGGCAGGGGCAAGCAATTTATCAGCGGGGCGTGCTACAACAACAGCTAGTGAGTAGATCCTGGGTGCAGACTCCGATGGACAGTGCCTGCAGGGGAACATGCCAGCGGGCGACGGAATGTTGTGGAACCGGAAAACCTCTGTAGCGTGGGCCTCGCTCCAGTCTTTCGGTCAGGGGGCGGGGTCAGCGGCCGGGCCTGAATCAGTGGACTACTCAGGGGTCAGCACCGGCTGCACTTCCGCGCGAGGGGCCAGGTCGAGACCTGGGGCGGCGGGGCTTGATGGTGCCCGGGCGCTGTAGGCGCCTGTCTGGTGAGAGGCTGCTGACCCCAGGAAGTGGACGACGGAGCTACCCGTTATGTGGCCAACCCGGGGTACTCCAGCCACGCCTCGTTTCACTCTTCTTGGTCTTCCCAGAGTCCATCCCCCCTACCCCGCGTGACCCCCGGACGCCCCCTAATGGAACTTCCCACACTTCCTGAGTGACCTCATCCAGCTTTTGGCTCACCAGGCCCAAATCCTTATCTTCAGCCTGGACCTCTCTTCTGCGTGCCAGTCCACCGGACATCTCGCACTGATGTCCCTCAGGCCTCTCAAATGCGCTCTGTTCTAAATGACCAGAGCCATCTCAATCCCCCAGCCTGCCCTCTCCATCTCAGCCCTGGACCTGTCCTCTTCCAGGGGCTCCAGCCAGAGACTTGGCCACCACTGTGGATGCTGCGTTTTCTCCTCAAGTCTGCCCACTTCTCCCCATCTCCACCCCTGCTGCCTAGTTTAAGCCACCACTACCTCCCATTGTGGCTACTGCTACAGCCTCCTCCCTGGGCTTTGCTTTCCTTGCAGCCAAGGGGCTCTGACACCCAAATCTCACTTCATTGCCCTCCCTCTGAACATCTACCAACATGACCAGATCTGTTTTCTGCAGAGACACACCCAGAGAGTGACCAGAGCTTTTCACACTGCCCCATTACGGCTGCTCAGAATAGTCCACACCAGGTAAAAGCTGTAAGTGTTGGGAACTGCTAGTCCAGGATCCCCAGTGCACCCTTCACAGCACTTTCTGATTCAGCCCCAGCTTCCTTGACCCTGGGTCCCTGCATGTGCCCTGATCCAGTCCAACAGCCCCGAGACTGCTCCTACCCAGAATACCTCTGACTCAACCTTCAAAACCCAGCCCTCACATTACCTTCTCCATGAAGCCTGATACCCCGATGCTGTTTCTCAAAGCCTACTTCATCCTGCCAAAGCCTAAGTGAATAGATGGACCCAGTGCCTGGGTCTCAGCAGGGTGAACCTCAGCCAGCCTGTAGAAGGGGCTGGACTGGGCAAGTCAATGCCCTGTCAGGGCCTCATATCCATAAAACAAAGGGTTTAGAATCTAAATCCTTTAGATGAAACCCAAGTTTGAAGCTGCTGATGGCACTCATTGGAATGGGCCTAGCCTGGTGAAGAATGAGGGGTCATGGGCTGGTGAGAGAAGCAGGTCAAAAGCTGATTTCCTCCAGGACATGGAAACACCTCCCAGGCAACTGAGGCATAGATACGACCACCTTTGGAACTGGGCCCTGTTAGATCTGGCCCAGTGGTAGAGGGATTGCCAGGCTTGGAGCTCAGTGACTCGAGAGGAGATGGGCCTAGACTGGGGGATATAGGACCTTGCAGGGTGAGAAGGCCTTCATAAGGGGGTGTGGTCAGGCTCTCCTTGACCCTTAAGCTCCATTTCTTCCCTGTGTCGCAGATCCACCCTCTGGCCCTGATCTCTCAGGTTCGGTTCCAGGGCAGGGGCCTGGCTGGGCCTAGCTTGGACAACTAAGCAGAACAGGTGTGGGGTGTGGCCACATGCTTCCAAACAGACCAATAATGTTTGTGGGAGAGAAGCCAAAGGGTGGCCCAGCATCAGAGAACCTCTCAGTGAGTGCCAGCCTAACCCTGAGCCAGTGTCCCCAGGGCCTGCCTTTCTGACTGGTCCTAGGAGCTTGGCTGGGGCCTCTGGGGCAAAACCCCTTCCCCTGTCATGTCATGAACATCAAACACAGACACAAATAGCAGTGGCTTCTTTACTCCCTGAAGTCCCCTTTCTTCACAGAATATTTACAAACGGGAATGGCGTAGGGGAAACTTCGCCACCAAATAATGGGCTTGGGAGCGGGGGCAGTGCGAAGGTGCGCCTCTGCGCAGGGAGAGTTCCTGAGGGGGCCCGGGGCCCTGAAGGACCTGGGCGGCCTGAGCAGGTCCACAGCTAGGCCAAGGCTGGGCCAGACAGCTCAGGCCAGGTCGGTGGTGGGGGAGCCCAGCTGCTTGGAGGCCAGGAGCAGGCGGGTGGCTGCGCTCTCCGATGCGGCCTGCAGCCGCCGGTTGTTGTTCCGCAGGTTCCGAACCTCCTCCTCCAGGGCCACTCTGTCTGCTTTCTCCTGGGGGTGTGGGCCGAGGACGCGGGACTCAGAATGGTCGGCCCTTTACCTGGGGCAGCCCTGTGAATCCCCGGCAACCCCCAGGCCACCCTGTCACCTTCTGCAGGTCCTCCTGCAGCTTCCTGAGCATGGACTCCAGGTGAGAGACCTTCTCTGACAGGCTCCTGGGTTCCGGCCTGAGAACATGGGGGCCAGAACTCAGCGGGACTGAGGCAGAGGGCAGTACCACAGCTGGCTCCCAGACCCCCCCGAGGAGGTGGGCCCAGCCCAGTCTTCCCAGACATGTGTATGTGAAAGCAGAACCCAGGGACAATGTTTAACTCCACTGAATGGGCAGATGGTCACGTAAAGGGACTAGATCAGGGTGGGGAGCCTTACTCAGCATCAGACTTTGGGGTTCCTTTGGCATCTCCACTCTCTGGAATGGGCTGTCCTGTGGGGAAAGAGGGACCATGTGAGCAGGTGGGTAAAGGAAGTAAGAGCCCCAGCCTGGCCCCTTCCCGCACGGCTCTCAGCGGCCTCACCCTCCCGGGACAGCGACTCCAGGATGGTGTTGCAAGTGGAGGCGATCTCCGAGATGGACTGCCACTCGTCTTCCAGAGTCTCGCTGCCCGCCTCTGACATGACTGGGCACAAGGAGGTAGGCTCAGCCGGGGAAGCCCAGGCCAGCCTCCCCCGCCCACCTCCTATCATGTACTACACCTTGTTTCAGACTCACTTTTGCTGATGGAGTTTCGAAGAGACAAGGTTCGTGGCAGGAAGGAGGCCCTCAGCTCTGGGCCTGGGTCACCCCCGTCCTCACCACCACTGGGGCTGGCTGGCCCATCCTGAGGGGAAGAAATGGGTATGGATGCAGTGATGCCCACCATCACCACTGTGCCCATCCCCACTTGTAGGGCTTCAGGGCCTTTTTTCTGCTAACCTGGGTGGGGGGTGTCTCCCTGCCAGCACTGGGTGCTGGCGGCTTGGTCGTGGTGGCCAGGAGGAGGTCCGGGGTGGTGTTGGGCAGAACTGGGGCCTCATCTGACAGGGAGCTGGGAAGAGCAAGGACAGCTCAGCACTAGAAGCTGCACCCCAGGGCCCTGGTTTTCAGAGGCCTGCCTGCCCAGCCTCACTGGGCTGGATGAGAGAGATGGTCGAGAGGGTGTACCTGCAGGGTGATGGTGAGTTCTGGCTGTGCAGGAACTCGGTCCTCTCCTCGGCTAGGTCTCCGGGCCCTGGAGGACCGCTGCCATCATTCAGGCACACGTGCAGCACCTGCTTCTTGGTGGGCATCAGGGCCACTCCAGGGACCTCATCCTGCACTGGCTCCGGGGCCCCCCGCCGGCTGGGCTCCTGTAGAGACAGCCTGTACAGCTCTGAAAAGCTCCTGCGGGGAGGAAGGGGCAGCTTCAGGTTAGAACAACCCCGTCCCTAGCAGCTGCATCACCAGCTCCACTCCCAGCCGTGTCTGAGGCTCACTTTCAGGAGGAGAGCTCTTCAAACTCCCTAACAATGAAAAACGTTTGCCTGGCTACTGGCCATTCTTCCAGACCTAGGTTCAAATCGCATGCTGCCCCTGTGTATCCTGGGCAAATCACTGAATGTCCATTTCTCCATCTGTGAAATGGGGATAACAGTACTGATCTCATACCTTGCTGTGGGGATTTAAATAACAACACAGGTGAATCACTTAGCACAGAGATCCAAAAACTACTGTTTGGGGACCAAATTCAGGCCCTACCTTTTCTGTTTTAAATGTGCCTGTTTTTGAACTAATGCAAGCTAAGAATGGTTTTCACATTTATAATAGTTGAAAGAAACCAAAAGAATGTTTCATGACACATGAAAATCATATAAAATTCAAATATCAGGCCCAGCTGGTATGGTTCAGTGGTTGAGAATGGACCCACGCACCAAGAGGTCGCTGGTTCCATTCCCGGTCAGGGCACATGCCCAGGTTGTGGGCCTGATCCCCAGTGGGGGGCGTGCAGGAGGTGGCCAGTCGATGTTCTCTCTCATCAATGTTTTTATCTCTCCCTTCCTCTCTCTCTCTAAAATCAATAAAGAAAAAAAAGTTGTAATTCAAGTATCAGTGTCTATAAATAAAGTTTTAGTAGAACTCACACTCATTTACTAATTGGCTTCATTCTACCCATAAAGGAAGTGCTGTTCAGAGAGATTGAGAGACTGGGATTTCTCAAAAAGGAAAGGCCTTCACCTGCGTCTTGAGAATGGCAGTGGAGACACAGGAGGCACTACAAGGTGGCCAGCTGCCCAGCCCTCCCACCTTCCCACCTTCATCCAGGCGCCCTGACCTGCGGGGCCGGCCGCTCTCATCTGGGGGCAGGACGGTGATGCAGACCTTGGGCGCGGAGCGCAGCAGCTGGGCCGCAGCCTCGGGGCCAAGGTTAGGCAGCGTCTGGCCGCACACACGCAGCAGGCGCGACCCGGGCCGCAGTCCCGCAGTCTCCGCGAACGTGAAGCGCTCCACGTGCGTGACAAAGCCTTCGGCGTCCACTTCGAAGCCTAGGCGGCCTTGGCCGTCGCGGGGCGGCGCCAGCTCACGGGTCTCGCAGCCACGGCTCACCAGCTGGGGCGGAGCGTGGCTTAAGTGGGGCTGACCCGAGGAGGGGCCCCCCCGAAGCCAGACCTGTGAACCTCGTCCCAGGCCACACAGACCTTCCCCTCAGCCCCCTTGGAGAGTGTTGGCAACCCACCCGGCAGATGAGGGCTGGGAGACTAGGGTCACCTGCCTGAGGACAGTTTTAGCTTTGCCAAACTCGGGCTGGGCCTGCCCCCAGCCCCACCCTGACCGTCCCTTTCCGGGGAGGCGGCCAAAGCGAAGGATTCCAAAGCAGGCTCCGCCCCCAACGCGGGGAGGGACCAGGGCACTGGCCGTGCACCCCTGGGTCGTACCTGTAGGCGCGCCACGACCTCGCCTACAGCTTGCCCAGGGGGTTGGTCAAACCGCAGGGTGATCGCCTCCCCTCGGCCGTGGTACAGATCCAGCTGTTGCTCCGAGAAGGTCCAGGCCAGCACATCGCGACAGGCGCAGTTAAAGACTACACGGCCGTCGCGTGGCACCACCAGCACCAGCGCTTCAGCTGAGATGCCTAGCAGGCAGGGTACCTCGGTGCCGTCGGGGCTGCCCGCCTGGGCCCCGCCAGCACCCCGCGCCCCTGGCGCCGCGCGCACTCCCCACACCAGCGCGCCCGCAGCCTGCAGCTCGGTGCCCGCGCCCCGAGGGGACGCCCGCCGCCGTCCGCCCAGGGAGGGCAGGCCAAAGCGAGAAGCTGAGTCCAGCGACGTGGTGGTCACTTCATTGGTGGCCAGGTCCTGTAAGTACTGCTGGCGCGTGCGTGTGGCCATGGTATGGAACTGGCGTGCGTGGCCTGCCGCCTGCTCGCCATTGAGCGCCTTGGCCAGCAGGAAGGCCCGGAAGTCGGCGTTGGCTGGGAAAGGGCCTCCACCTCGGGGCAGGGCTGGACCAAAGGCCGGGGTGTCCTGGGTGCGGCTCACAGCCACCCTGCAGGGAGGAAGACGGTAGTCGGTAGTCGGGGCAGCAGGAAGGATCCAGAAAGCCTTGCCTATGGCAGAAGAGGAACCACCTGGGCGCCCACCTGTAGGAAGTGTGTGCAGTGCAGGGCGCGTGTGCCCTCACCACCAGGAACACGTGCTGAAAGTGTGAGCGGATGGTGGTGGGGCTGAAAGGCTTGCTGCCCGGTTCCTGGAACACGATGGTCACAATGTTGTTGCCGATGTGGCGTTTCCGAAGGAGCTGGGGGTCAGAGGGTGGGGGATGTGAGCGGGACCTTTCTGCACCCCAAGTCCCTCCTCATTCAAGCAGGGCAGAGCCTGGGCACCAGTGGGCCCACCACCTGCCCCTGGGTTTTTGTCTTTGAGGAGGGTTACCAGCTGGGAGGGTTGCTGGAGGTCAACAGAGCTCAGGCTCAAATATCGCCATGCCCACAGCACCCCTCCATGGCTCCCCACAGGCCCCGACCACCCCACCCCAGCCCTCTCGCACCTGCTGCTGGTTATTGGGGGTGTAAGGCAGCATTGTGGACACGTGGAACATGATCTCGTAGTCCTGGTACACGGTGTAGAGTGAGTACATACCAGTGGAATCCGCTGTGGCCAGGGAGTTGGGACACAGGGAGAGAGAAAGGGTGATCTGGGTGGCTTGAACTTACCATCCCTGCCTGCAGTCTGGAGCCTCTGTGCCCCCAACCAGCAGGTGGACAACCCCTTCATGCCTCCAGCCATGCAGGCCACGAGGTCTTCAGCCTTGGCTGCTCCCCTTCCCCTCCCCCCACAGGTTCCAGCCTCCAGCCTATGGTCAGGTGGGGGTGTTGAGACAGAATGAAGACAGGAAAAAGAAATGGCCTGAGGGAGGCAGGCAGATGTCTGGGAGAGGACAGAGGTTGGCCCAGGCACCACCCTGCGTGGAGCAGTGACAGTGGCAGGCAGATAGGAGGTGCTCAGTAAAAATGCCTCCTCAGGGCCCAGGGCCCAGGGCCCTTAAACCAGGAGGCAGGGCACTACCAGGAAGCTGAGCTGGTAAAACATGTATGTTTGATGGAGGGGGTGGTACCCCCAAACCCCTTTGGCCCCAGCTCAGGCAGTAGGCATCAGGGCCTTGGAGACAGTCCCAGCCTCTCCTCCCAGCCCGTGGCTTGGATTTTGCAGCTCCTGACCCATGTCCCCAGCCTACCCAAAAAACTCTCCACTCCTGGCCCCAACCCTAGACCATATGAAACAGAGAAGTGACAAGACAGTTGGTTCTCACCAAGGCATCCTGCCCCAGCATGAGGCTGCCCCCACCCCCCTGGGCCTCACTTTTGGTGTCCAGCTGGGCCCGGTAGTTCTCAAAGCCTTTGAGCCGCACCACATTGCCCAGCAGGCTGAGGAACTGCGTGAAGGCGGGTCCTGCCTCCTGGTTGTTGTACATTTCTTCTTCGGAGCCCTGGCCTGCCCGGCAGTACAGGATGCCCACCTTGCGCTGGAAGCTCAGCTGGGAGGGGGCAGGGAGGGAACAAGCTCAGTCCCCTCCAGTCCCACCTCCACTGGGGCTTGGGGAATGGATGGGACGCTAGCCTGGAGGCTGGGCTGCCTTGATGCCTGGCCCTGAATGACAATGCCAACCTCTCTAAGCCATCTCTGTATCCTCACCTATCAAGTGGGTTTGGTCTGTCCTGCTCCCAGTGCTCAAGAGGGTAGAGGACGACACAGGTGGGACAGGACTGGGAGGGGGGTGGTACTCCTGTGACCACAGAGGAGGTGACTCATGGAAAGGGCCCTGAACATGGTATACTCAATTCTAATAAACAGTCACATTGTCATCCTCCTCAATTCAAAGCTAGCCTGTCCCCTGCTCCCTCAAATCCCAGGCACCTCCATCCCAGCTTCTGGAGGCCTTGAACCCCACACCACTTTTGCTCATTCTTTGCTCCTGGCTCCTTTCCATCTGGGGTTAACTGCACAGCTTGAGGCACTATGACGCTCAAGCTGTTCCCCTCCAGCACTGGCCTCCCTGCTTCATATCAATCCTGTCTGTATCCACAGTCCTCACTTTAATTTCATCCCCGTTAACCCCTGCAGCCCCACTTGCACCCCAGCTCCTAAACCCCAACTCCCTCCCAACTCCCTCGGATCTTCTTAAAGTACAGGCTCTCATTCAGTAGGTCTGGGGCTGGGCCCAAATATCTGCATTTCTAACAAGTTCCCGGACGATGTGGATGCTGCTGGTCTAGACCTTATTTATAGAGGCAAGGCTCCAGATGACCTCTGATACCCTCTCTGAAAAGCTAGCTTCGCTGGGGTCATAGTCCTATCCAGGATCAGGGCTAGGTGTATGAGAGCTGGGCAGGCTGGGTTCAGACCAGGTCTGGCAGTGGGGCTGGGGACACCCCGGCCACTCACCACTTGCTCGTCCAGCGTGAGCAGCGTGCGTGGCACCTTCGGTGAGGCTGAGCCCAGGCGCAGGCAGGTTGGGCTCAGCCGAGGTGCCACGTGCTCCAGAAGCTTCCTTGGGGACAGGCCCCTCGGGGGCCCTGGGGGCAGTGCCTCCTCCGAGATGGTGCCCCGGAGGGTCCGGAGCTGAGGAGGACATGTGGGGGCACTCAGGCTACATACAGGTTGTTGAAGGTGAAACCCACAGTCTGATCCCATGACCCCGGCCCACCTGTGTGGTCCGCACGATGATACGGTAGCTGTGTAGAGTGCCCCCTCCGCTGCCCTCCTTCTCCTCCCGCCGCAGGCTTATTGCCACCGGACCCAGCACCTCGTCCAGTCCGAAGAAGTTCTGGTGTTCTGGGGGTGGGTCCCAGACAACGGATGACAGTCCTGCCGCCCTGCAGTCCCACCCTTGCCAGACCATGCCCATCACTAAATCCCACTTTAGCCCCATCTCATCTCAAAGTGCAGACCCTAACCTAAGGCCCACCCCTCCGAAGCCCTATATTCTGTCAAGCCAAGTACCTGCTCCCAGACACCAGGCCCTATGCCCCGCACCCTCATCCCCCTCTATCACACCTTGTCTCAGATCCAGGGGGCCGATGCCTGCCTACTCCCATGCCTAGATCCTGCCATGACCCTGCCCACCGTGCCCATGTTCTCCAGGACGTCTGGGACCCTCCCTTCTGGACACTGATAAGAACAGGGTTCTGGGTTGCAGGGGTTTTCAGGCCTCAGTCGTCACCTCACAGAAACGTAGTAGCAGATCTCTCCCCAGCCCAGAGGAGTATGACAAGGACCAGGCGGAAGCAGAGGGGCGTGCCTGGCTGCGGGTGGAGGCTGGGGTTGGCCTGAGGTAGGTGGCTAAAGCTGGGCCCAACGGCAGTCTTGGCCCAGAGGCAGAGCCTAGCCCTTCCTATGGCCAGGGACTCGACAGGGAAAGGACAGCTCAGGAGTCCTGTGTACACTGCAGGTGGCAGGGACCTCTGTTCCTCCCGGCAGCCTTCCCCTCACCTTTGTTGTAAAAATACTTGCGGTAGTAGCCAGCACCCAGGTCTGCATGCTCCAGGCTGTAGGCTGAGGTTCGGTTTTGTGGCTCCTCCAGAACCGACACAGCTGCGTTGGGCAGTGCAGGAGGTACAGGTGGGGACACTGGTCCACCCAGGCCCAATTCACCCTCACCCCCAAGCTCACTCACAAAGCCAGGTGCTTCAAGCAGCAGGTCTGAGCTGGCAGACTGGTCCTCGGCCAAAGCCAGGGTCCCAGAGCCAGCCTCTGTGTGGCCCCCTGTCCCCCGAGGCCGTGGAGCCCAGTCAAAGAGCAGGCTCTGCACGTCATAGTGAGCGAACCAGCGGGGCTCAGGCACTGGTGGGAAGGCGGGCTCCGGCTCCTCAGCTGGCAGCCCCAGCAGCGCCAGTGGGTCAGCGAAGAGTTGAGTGGGGACCGCGGCAGGGCGACTGGCGTCCTCATGGCTGTGGGCACGGGCTCGAGGGCTGGCTGGTGTGGGGGGCCGAGCCTCGCCTGCATCACTGCCGCTGCGCAGCAGGGGGCCCCGGGTTGGCCTTGGCTCGAAGGTGTGTGGTGTCAGCGGGGGCCGTGCTGGCTGGCGAAGCTTTCGGGCGAAGAGGTCGTCAGTGGGTGCAGGGGCCATGCCCCGCCGAGGGCTCCCAACGCCGCCGGCCCACATGGGCGTGCAGCGGGCCTGGCTTTCCGGGGGCCCGGCCGCATTGGCAGGCACGGGGGTGTCGGATGCTTGGTTCCCAGCTGGCAGGCTGGTTCTTGCCCTGAGGGAGGAGGGGGCTGCTCAGAGAGGCCTGGGGAACAAAACAGGAACCCAGGTTTCCAGTCTGGTCCTCCACTACACGGGTTGGCTTCCGGCCTCCTCTGAGACCATCAAAGCCGCTTCCGCTTTCCTGGCCACTTCCTCGTCTGCCTCAGGCTAAGGTTTCCAGCCCCCTCCTCCAGCTTAGTGCTGGGCAGGGCCAGGGCTAGGCTGCTGGGGCCTTGGCCCTGAGGATCTGGAGCCTGGGCAGCCCTGGGGCTGCCAGAGTCCCCCACTTCCCACTCACACACCTTGGCTTTGGCCTGAGCCCTGACGGAAGGTCCTCACCAAGGCCTGGCCCAACTGGACAGATGATTTGTCTCAGCTGGGACGGGAAACCCATGGGGCCATTGGTGTCTGGGTCCTGCCCACTTGACAAAGGGAGGACGTCCTGTCCCCAGAGACTTTCCTCCCTGCCCTTCCCACTTCCTCTGGGTCCCTGAGAAGATGAGCACCCAGAGGCCAAGTCTCAAAGCCCTGGTCCTCAGAGCCTCAAAACCTCAAGGACACAGGGGTTCCCAGGGGGCACTGGCAGGGCAGCAGAAACGACAAGAGGACTTCCTTTGGCACAGGAAGTGGCCTCAACTCTGGGCCCAGCCCCCTACCCAGCTCCACATCCTGAGGAAGGTGGTGGGGTCACACCAGCTCAGTCATGGGACTCAAGTCACACTGGCCTGAAGGACAGGCCCTGGCTCACCCTCTTCCAGGCCAGGCCTAGGGGCAGAGCAGTGAGTCACAATGACTGGGCCCCTTTGCTGGAACTGGGACCCTTGGGGATCTCTGCCTATCTGGCCTCACTGATGCTGACAGGGAGGTCTGAACCCCATGTGACGGACAGTCAAACTGAGGTCCAGATCAGGGGATGCTCTTGCCTGAAGCAATTTCGTGTTAGAGCTAGGATTTGACCCTGGGTCAATCTCCAGGGCTAAACAGGGCTGTGCTCATCCACTGCTGCCCGAGTGTATGGGTGTGGAGATGGGGGGTTGGGCAGGGGTTCAAGATCTCACAGGATGTAGACTGAGACACCCAAGGCCCCAGGGACCCGCTAGGTGCGGAAATGTGGGGAGGCCAGGGGCAGGTGTGAGAAAGTAATAGGGAGCCACCCCCAAATGAACCCAGGATGGAGTTGGCCACTAGGGGTGCAGGCACCTGCTAGTGGGTTTTTGTACATCATCCGGTAACATTGTGTGGGGCTGGACTTGGAGGGGTCGGGGGTAGGGGCTCTGTGAACCCCTCAGCTAAAGCTCCAGAACCAAGCAAGGGTAGGCCTCCAAAGCTGAGTGTTTCCCCCTTGTTTCTCCTAGCAAGCTCTGATGCTAACCTTGAGCCTCTGTTCTCTCATCTCTAAAATGGGGTTAACCATTACTGTTCCTTCTCAACACTGCAGGGAGATTGGATGGATGGTGAATGGAGTGAAGCTGGACACGTTAAGTGTGTAGAGGCAGATGCAGGCCCTGGCTCCACATGCCAAGCTCTGGGGCCTGGACTGTGGTGTGTGATGGGGGTGGGAGGGGACATGAGGGAGGGGTCCGTGCAGGCTCCTGCTCTGTGTGAGCTGACTTCCGCGTGTTCCTTTACAGCCCATGAGCTGCTCTTGCTCTGGCCCAGTGCCGGGCTCTGGCTCTGTCTTGGGGGTGTTCTTGGGCTCTGCCCCCCACCCAGCAGCTTCACACAGGGTCCATTGAGGCCGGGACATTCCTCCCGGCCTGTGTCACTGGGGAAGGGGGGCTGGCCCCGCCCCCACAGATCCGGAAGGCCCGGCTGCCCCAGGAGGAGGCGCTGGATGCTTCCCAGCACATCTGGAGGTCATGACCCTATTTCTGCTGCCAGGGGTGCGACAGATGTTTCCTCCCAGGCCTGGCCCGGGGCTGGGGGCGGTGTGCAAAGGCTGGAGAGGAGGCCACCCAGGGAGAAGGGGAGCCCCCAAACAGGGGGACCCCTGCACACCGCCAGCAGCAGAGGCAGTTGCCAGTACCACCGAGAGCAGCCAGGGGCCACCGCAATCGCTCGCACACTAGCACACCAGCCCGGTCGGCCGTCACGCAGAGGACAAAGTCGGGGCCAGCGGCAAGGGACTAGACATGCCGACTCAGGACGAGCGGGAGCCTGGTGGGAGGTTGGGAAGGTACAGGCGGCGAACGCATCCAGGATCCCCTCCCATACATACACCACCCGAGCCCACGCCAGTCCACGTTCTCCCCTGTGCAGCCCGACCGCGGTGACTCTGCTCTCCCGCGCCCGCTGGTACCTCTGGGGCTCCCGCCCGGCGGCCTCCTCCCGCGCTGGGGTTCCACAGCCGGCTCTCCAGCTACTGCTCCCGGCGCCGGCTCCGCCTGGGGGCGGGGCCACAGCGGGGCGGGGCCACCGCAGCTGGGGCGGGGCTGGCCCCGGCGGGAAGAGCTGGAGCAGAGCGCCGGCCAGAGGTAGGCCCAGCCCAGAGAGCTGTCCTGTTCTCCAGCCCTGGGCTGAGACACACAAAAAAGTGTACCGGCCCCCCAGACCAACTGGGAGGGCTAGAGCAGAGTACCTAGTGTCCAGCTCGCCCGGGAACAAAACAGGTGCTCAGGAACTGGGACTTTCTGTCCGAGCACTTGCTAAGGACTGGGCCCTGCTCTATACTCTCACCTACTCTTAAATCACCTTAGAAAGGTGTCATCTTCCTTATAACTGGAAACACGGAGTTCAGAGAAAGGTCTTGGCCAAGGTCAGGGCTGATAATTATAGGAGCCAGCCACTGGAACTGACAGTCTTCAAATATTATAGAGGTGAGAATTAAACAAAATTAATTTCATATCAAGGCTTGAAAAGAGAATAGGCTTGTGAGGAAGGGGACCCAGGGCTACTCAAACCCTACCTTGGTCTGAACTTGATCTCCATCATAGCCCAGTCCCACATCCTCTCCACGCTCATCCACGCTGACCTGGCCAACTCCTTTACCTTTCACCCAAACATTCCCAGAGAGAAGTAGAAACCACCAAACAAAATCAAAAATAGTGTTATTAATTCTGGTGTCTCCGAAGCACGGGAAAAAAAAAAAGAAGAAAAAACGAAAAAGAAACCACCCTTCCCACATTTCAGCCCCAGGTCCAGGACAAGGGGCTGCCCCTGCAGGCAGTGCAGGCCCAGAGGCCAAGTCAGTCCTGGCCACGGGCTTAAAGCGGGACCAGCCCATGGGTTTGGCTCTTAGGACCTGGCTGGGAGGCTGCCTGCCTCATTTTGGGGAGTCCAGGCCCTAGACTAGGAATGAGAGATCAGGGGTCAAGGTAAGAGGTCTGGGCCACTCAGTTCTGGTGCTCTGGCTAAGGCAGCCAGAAGTCAGGGTTCAGATGTGGAAGCCAAAGCTATTCGGTTCTGTGGTCCAACAGACAAGGCCAGAGGCCAGGGTCCAAGTCACTGAATCCTGGGCTGGGATCCAGAGAAGAGTGGGCCCTTCAGTATTGATGGTCCAGCAGGGGCTGGGCGGCAGGGCTCTCACGCTCCTCAGCAGAGGCAGGCCAGTCGCCCAGGGCCCCCGTGGGCGTGCCACTCTCAGGAACACTGCTGTCCAAGCAAGGAATGTCCTGGGCTGCTCTGGGGGGCGAGGCATCGGTGCTGATATCGGGGCTGAAGCTGAGGTCTAGGGGCACCTGGGGGAGGGGAGAGAGGTTGGTGGAAGAGCAGACCTGAGCTGCCCAGGACCCTCCCCTCCCACTGGATCCTTACCTGAGATTTGGGGGTGCCTCCTTTGGGGCTCCCTGAGGCTGGCTCCCCCTCAGATCCCCCCAGCCCCTTGCGACCCCCCAGGCTCCATTTCCCACTGGGACCCTCAGAATAGAGGAGACCAGGGCCAGGGGGCCTTGAGGGTCGGGGACCCTCAGTTGGGGCAGGTGAAGCTGGGGGCAGTCCAGGGAGCCGAGGGGGTGGCCACTGCAGCAGAGGAGGGGGGCGCCCATCACCAGAACTGCTAAGGGAGGGCCTCGGGCCCCAGCCAACACCTGGTGGGAGGGGTTGGTCGCCACTGCCTGTGGAAGACAGATAAGAGGGCAGAGACCTCGGCTAGGCTGTCCCCCTCCCCTACTGGTGCAGTCTGGCCTTGCTGGCTCACCTGCTGTGTTCTCAGGTGTGGGGTGTGCCAAGGGGGGGTTATTGCTGAGGGAGGTCAAGCCACCGCCTCCGCCACAGTCTGAGTCATCTACGTTCCCACCACTGTTGCAGCCGGCACCACAGCCCTTATGAAGCCTGGCGTGGGCAGAGGTGAAAAGGTTACTGGGAGGGCCAGAGACCTCACAGACAGAAGTTCTCAGTCCCAGGTCAAGTCACCTAACATCCCTGAACCCCTCGAGGTGCTATCTCGAGGAGACTTTGCATCTACTTTACGGGATCTTTTCAGGAAAGCATTATCAACAGCTCTTAAGCTAAAGGCCATCTTCAGCTAAGCGGTGGGGTGGAGCCAGGTGAGCGGTGGGAAGGGGTCAGCTCTCAGGGCTCCATCCTGGCTCCAGCACTTCCTCACTGAGACCTTGGAAGAAGTGGCTTCACCTCTCTGAGCCTCAGCTTCCTGTTCCATGAACCAGCCCAAGAGGCCACAGTGTGGACTCACCTCTCCCAGCTGCGCAGAAGCCAGCGGGCAATGGCGCCCAGGCTGACGGGGCCACCCCACAGCGCCCGCAGCTGGGGGTGACTGCCAGCCAGTGAGGTGGTGAGGGGCGACACGTAGATGGGGTAGCCAAGTGGCTGGTCGCAGGAGGAATTGATCATGTTGCGGAGCGCCTGCTTGGCGTTCTGGATGCTGCCACGCTCTGGGTTGCGGTTTCGCAGGAACACCAGCTCCTGCTGCTGCCCAGCCCACAGGCCGCGCACACACTCGCGGTTCACCTGCGGGTGGCCACATGCAAGGGTCAGGGGGCCGGCACCAGGGCAGGGGCGTGTCGAGTGGGTGAGCTCTCCCCACCTTGATGACTCTGAAGCTGAGGTGGCGCCGATTGAGCATGATGATCTTGTACTCATCAGAGGCATCATCCAGGACGTGCCGCAGGGCCAGCAGTGAGGGCGTGTTGCTGAGGATGGCGCTGCGCCAGGCCGGGTCACCCTCGTGTGAGATGACCAGCCGCTCCTCGTTGGCTGCGATGGCATCATATAAGGTGGCTGGCTCCTCATACTCATCTGGGGATGTGAAGTGGTCCTGCAGGGAGGACCGGGGGGCTAGGGTCAGGGACCCCTGACCTGGGGAGGGGCTTCACCCCCCACCTTCCCACCCTGCCTAGGCACACCTCTTCCCACCTGGTGAAGCTTGAGGGCCATGCGAACCCCAGGCGCCACCACTCGATGAAGCAGGTCCATGTCAGCAAAGACCCACTCGTCTCGCGGGGAGGTGATGCGGAAGTCCCCCTTGAACAGGGCATGCAGGCCGTAGAGGAAGGGCTCCAGGCTGGAAGAAGTGCGGGGGGGTGAGTGCCAAGGCTTCTGAGTTCCAGCTCCACGTGCAGTGGTCTGAGCCAAGACCATTCTTCATGCTGGGCCTCAGCTTCCCCTCTTGAGAAGTGCGTCAGCTACTGCCCGGGTCATGACTAGGAGGTACTGCCCACAGGATAGCCACACCGAAGGAAGAACTGAGGTGATTCCTGGGGGTCTCTGGCCTGGAACTCTTCGTGGATGGGGTGGAGGGGGGAGAGTGGTAGGCCCAACTGGACCTGTGGGCACTCACCTGGCAGACATGCTATGAGAGGCTGTCCCCAGGGCCCGGCGGCCCAGCACACACAGGCCAAAACAAAGAGTGACCAGCGGCGAGTTCCAATCCTGATCCACGGGCTGTGGCACAAGGACCCCCATCCCCAGAGCCCAGCTCAGATCTGGGACAGGGAACTTGGGGTTGGGGCTGGGTCCCAGGCCAAGGGAGGCTGAGAAGGAGGGAAAGCCACCCAGGGAGGGGAGAACGCAGCCCAGGGTAGTGGTGGCCAGACCTGGCTGCGCCGGGAGGCACAGTACTGGATCCACTCAAGGTGCACTGCACAGAAGGAGGGCAGCGAGAGGCCAGAGAGGCGAAGGTCATAGTCCTCATCCACGCTCAGGGAGAAGGTGGGGTCAGAGTCAGCATAGCCGGGCACCCGCACAGGCCGCAGGGCTGCTGCGATGCCCTCATGGCTCAGCCATGCCTCCAGCTTTGGCGAGCGGCTCACGTAATAGATGATGCTCTGAGAAGAGAGGGCAGGCATCAGGGCTGGGCCAGTGACGGGTAGCACCTTAGCCCTGGCCACTGCAGGAGAAAGTGTCGGGGAAAAGAGGCTTCTCTCTGACACTGAGCTGATGTCTGCTTTCTAGGACATTCATCCCGTGTCCCTTCTGTTTCCTGAAGCCACACAGGCAAATCTGCTCCTCTCCCCTAGGCCAGGGAGGACAGCAAGAAAGCAGAAAGGAAGCACCCCTCCTTACAGAGCATCCCCTGGAGAGTCCTGCACTGTGGCAAATGCTTGCCTCAGAAGATGCCCCATCTGTAAGGGAAACTGAGGCTCAGACCACAGACCTGCCTAAATTTACACAGCAGGGCTGACTGGGCTGGGATTGGAATCCCAGGACCTTTACTACCATAATGCCATGGGATCCAGACCTCAGAAGCCTTGGAAGGTCAGGCTGAGCTAGTGGGGCAGCCTACAGGCCAGTGGGGCCTGGGTCATGGGTCTCTTTAGGCAGCTGAAGAGTAACAGTCACAAGGCCTACCCTTAGGAAAAAAAGCATCCTGTGCTCAAGTCACGGGCTACTGGATCCTTTAAGAGACCACTGGTTTCTAAGCAGAGGTTTAGGCAAATGAAAAGGAGCTTCTGGAAGGCAAACAGCTGGCACAGCCAGGATGGATGGGTAGACTGGCAGTTGGCAGCCAGTGTGGTTACGGGGATTCCATGTGCTGCCCTGGGATGGAGCCACCAGGGTTGGTCCTCTGCCTGGGTAAAGGGTGGGAAGTCCAGGGTGAGGAGGGCGGTGCAGCTGGCCATGAATGGAAGGCACCCAGGCAGTGGGGGTGTCCAGCAGAGGGCTCTGGTGGGGCACACAGAGGCCAAGAGCCTGGGCACAAATGACAACAGTACAAGCTGGGAAAAGTCAAGAGCCTCAAACAGCTCCCTGGAGGACACCTAGAGGCCATGGCTATGGGTGGGGCCTCATCAGTTCCCAGTACTGGCAACTGGAATGGAAGCAGCCCTGGTGTCACCTTAGCTGTGGGCAGGTGGTTGGACAGCTTGAAGAGGGCTGGGCTGCCCCCTTAACAAGAGGACGGGGTACCAGGAGCCTAACAGGGTGAATAGGGGCAGGATGGCTGTTAGGTTGCTCTG